GACGAGCGCACCGCTCAAGAGTGCGGCCTTCTTCCTCGGGGCGTACTGCAAAGACTACAATGGTGCGTGTTCATATGCGTTGTCGCCTTGATTGCTTGGGTCAGGAGAGCAGTGGGAGGGGAAGGATATCAGGATTTTGAGGATGAACTCGATGGACTTGCCACCTTCGGTACTTCACGGGCAAGAGAACAGCAAGCTGACGCGCATTTCCTTTTCGCCATGTGCGCACAGAGGACTTCATGCTCTGCAAGGCGGAGAACCGAGACCCCGCACACTGTCTGAAGGAGGGCCGGCGAGTGACGCGCTGTGCGCAGGACCTGTACGTATCGGTCACTCCTCCCGTCCGCCGTGCTTGCTGAGAAACATACTTACGTCAATGTGTTTCCCGCCTCTTCCCGCCGCAGGATCACCAAGTTGCGCGAGAACTGCCTTGCGGAGTTCGAGAAACATTGGAACTGCTTGGAGTACAACAACCAGGTGAGTACCCCAATTGTTGCGGCGGGCTGCGCAGCGATGCTCGACGCTCGTTGGGCCGTCGGCGAGGCGCGTCGCGCAGGACGCTGATCGAATGCCTTCGCGTCGCCGTTGTGTGAACAGGAATACTACCATTGCCGGAAGGATGAGCGCGTACTGAACAAGTGTGTGTTCGAGAAGCTGGTACGTGAACATATCGATGTCTACCTTGCACCGGCTGATTGATTCATTTCTCCATAGGGTCTGGTGAAGACCATTCCTGGGACGCCAGAGGGCAAAACACCCATTCATGAGGTCAAGAACCCCATCTTTACCGGCGTACAGAAGTAGATCGCGCGCTCGTTATACATCCGTTGTATTGCTCTTATCCGGATGCTTGACGCTGTTCCCCGCGAAGCAAACCCATCTCCGTATGCGACAAGCTCAAGCTCTGTCTCCCGACCGGCAAGATGGTGTTCCGCAGACGCCTAAAATGGCATTGTGAGACACTACTGGAACAAGTGTGAAGAGGATCAACCAGAAAGGTAAGCAGGTGCAGGTAGTATGGTAAAGGGGCCAAGCGAACGACAGGTGCGGTCCGTGCTGTGAAGTCAATCCTCATAATCTCCCCTCTGCCCCTACACTTATTCCATGATGGGCATAGCTTCTTGCGCATAGCAACATCCGCTTGAGTCCACGGACAATGATTCTCCAGCACGGCAAGGGCGTGGCTTATGGTGTGGGCTCGGACTTGAAACGAAGAACGAAGTTGACAACGATAGCCACTGTCAACGGGATGAGAGACTGTAGGGAGGAAACGGTCTGAGCCTACTCACCGATAAGTGCAACACATAGTATTGTCTGCGGGACATTGTCGTTAGCAAGAGTACAGATTCCGAGAGGTCTAGATGCTCACCGGGCCGACCCTGTCATCATACGGTCCACGTCCGCCACGACGAATGGATGCCGCACGCCAATGGAAGGTGTACAGAGCGTAGACCATGACGGCCATGGCTTTCAAGGGGGCATAGATGATATGAGAGTCTGTGCTAGAGTCACACGACCAAGTGGATGTGAAGTTGCTCACCGACAAAGGAGAACATAGCCGCGCTAATTCGCCCAACCTACGGCGAGGACGTGAATGAGGTCCTGCTGGGGTGAATTACGGGAAGACAAACCTTGTCGCCAAAATTGAGAAGTCCGACCGCGAGGCCTCCAAGCACGACGGTGAAATGGAGCCATGAGAGGAAGGTGCGTTCGTTGGCGAACGCGACCTTGGGTTCGACCTTGACGGGGAGGGCGATGCGTTTGGCAGCGGTGCGTTGGAGGAGGGGCTGGGTGGACATGGCGGCAAGAAGATGAGGAGTGGATAAGGCGCGAAGAGAGGACCTGAGAGGGGAGGAGGAATATTAGGCGTTCGGGACTAGGTATATGGCTCCGGAGTTGGCGAGTCTGCACGAACGTGCTTGCCGTCACTGGCTCACGAAACGCGTCTTGCGTCACACCAGCTTCCAACGGCACGTGGTTCACGTAACCCGAACCGGCGGGCGCTTGGGCAGCCAGTCGCTTCGCGCACGCCACACGCGACGACGGGCGAGCGTTCTCTCTTGTCTCTTTGCTCTCATCCTCGACCTTTCTCCGGGGTTTCGTAGCGCACGTCGCGGCACGCGCTGTGTCTGACGCTCCTAACATGGATGTCGACGAAAAGGAGTACGTCCCACCTCCGCTGTCGGTGCAGCAAGAAGGTGCGCTGCTCGCAGTTCGAATCCACCAGCTCTTCATGTTCCCCCCCAGACGCTATTATCCACACACGCATCACGAACGACGAGAAAGCGCTCCGTCGTGTGACCAAGAAGTTCCACTCGTACTCATCCGTCGCATACACCCCCGCCGTCCCCTTGTCGCCTCTGACATCCTCGTCCGTCGACGATGCGCGCGAAGCCTTTCTGCTCGAGCTGGCCTCCTTCCAGCTCTCGCTGAAGAAGAGTCTGATGGTGTGTGAGGCGGAGGCGCGGCAGGTGGAGGAGTACCAGCGGGAACGAGAACGAATAGGTACGCACCCCTGCACCGCATATACCTTGGTTCTTAGGCGATCGTGTGACCAGCGAACGAACACAGCCGGCTCAAGGACCAGATTGAGGAGCTCAAGGCGACCCTCGAGCAGGCGCAGCTCGAGCGGAAGCAAAAGATTGAATACGATGTGATCGCGGAGAAGGTCAATTCATTACCGAGCAGGGAAGAACTCGAACAGTGAGTGTTCATGTTGCGTACACGGCGAGCAAGCCCGTTCCTCCCCTTCCTTCTGCCCGAGGAAACGAACTTTTCCCTGTGTGGTCCTCGTAACCAACCGTCTTGGCCTCCGTCCCGTTCAACACGATGGCCTTGAGGCTGCGATGCGACTCTTTCCGAGGTATCGCATCCTTTCATCGGACGTTTTCGCAGGAAGTGGGCTTGCATCATGTAAGACGCGCTGCTACGATACACTGACCTTGCCCTCAGGTCGATACAATCCCTCGAGAATGACATGGCCGCGATTCGGGCCGAGCACGAGAACCAGAACCGCACCCTACAGGCGCAGAAGGCTGCCCTGGATGCTGTTATCAACGACATTGGGCTGCTGAGGCTCATGGGAAAACAGGACGCGGCAGAAGAGTCGACACCGGCGCCGGAGACGCAGCCAGCAGACGAGGATGTGGAGATGGACGGTGCATCAAGCGTACGAACGCGAGAAGAGTCAGGCGAGCTGCGGGAGGAGAATGAGAACACGCGGCATCCCACCGGAAGCTCGAAGGCGGCAGAAGATGGGCACGATTCCGAGGACGAGGTTCCGCTTGCGAAGGCGAACCTTAATCCCGGAGCGAGGACGTTTGTGCCGCAGTCCAGGAATAACACGCCGATGATGCCTGGGGCGCGAGGCACGCCCACACTGCGGACGACGAGCGTGCCGGATGAGGACGACATCGAGATGGGCGAGATTGGGGAGGATCCAAAGGATCAGCGGGTGAAGAAGAAGGTGCGAGAGGAGGAGCTGGAAGAGGGCGAAGCCAGTGACGAGAGCAGTGAGCTTTCCGAACCTCCCGACGACTGACCGAGGTTCCGCATCCACTGTACATACACATACGCTCTGTATTGCTATCCCTCCAGGTCATCCTTCCGCGGTCCGACGTCGAATGTCATCAAGTCTCTCGCGCACACGACCTCGCCTCCGTACGTGTTCTCCGCAAGCTGTCGTATTGCGGCCATGATGCGCCGTGCAACATCGTCAACATCGTCGTTCCCCGCATACCTGGCTGAGAAGTGGTTCAAGACGAGCTTCCGGGCCCGTATCCTCTTCGCAAACGCCCCAGCCATCTGTGGTGTCGAGTGCCCCCTCGACTTCGCGCGAGCCTCCACCGTCTCGTACGTGTCCGCCTCCTTCGTGTCCGGATCCACGCCAGGCAAATGCGCGTTCGTCGCCTCGTGTATTAACAGACATGCGTCCTGCGCGAGCTCCGCAATGGGAGACGGGTCGTACGTGTCGCCCAGAATCACGATCTTTCGGCCAGGCTTCCGCGCGGGCCCATGGAGGACCGTCCCGTCCGCGAGCGTGACGGACTCGCCCTTCTGCAAGCGACTCATGGCCGACATCGGCGTCTTGGTCCTCTTCAGCTCCGGGATGTACTTCTTCGGGTCGACCTTGCCCGGGACCGGATGCTCCTGCACGACGTAGCCCACGCACGGGACGGAGTGCAGGATCGGCGCGGCGGACACGCTGACGAGCGGACCGTCGAAGATCGCCGGCCACGCGCCGCCCTCGGATTGGGGGATGTTGCGCCCCGGACGCTCCATGGGGTGCGGCGGCAGCGCGGTGTGGTCGCCGTCGAGCGGGTCCGTCGGGAGGCGCAGCTCGTGTACGACGTACGGCGCCCCAAGGAGCGTGTGCGTGTACGTGAGCCCGTTCCGGACGTATGCCCGTGTGCCCAGGGGGCCGTAGATCTCTAATGGCTAATTGCGCAGAGAAACGAGCGAGCTGCGTCAGCCCGAGGGTGCGCCGATAATTCAGGTAACTGACTGGTGTGTCTTCGTGCGCGACGCTCCCAATGGCGCGGGGGTCCTCGACGTCGACCGTGCCCCCGGCGCCGTTCAGACGCATCGCGAGGACGGGGAGGAGCCCAAAGATGTGGTCGCCTAAACAAACATGAACACCTCTGACTCTGAGTTGCCCGTAACGCGAGGATCACTGACCGTGCGTGTGGGTGATAAAGATCTTCTGGATCTTGCCCATTTTGACGGAGCTCTTTTGGATCTGGTGCTGGGTTGCCTCCCCGCAATCAAAAAGCCAGACATCTCCGTCAAGGCGCAAAGCTAGAGCTGAGTGATTTCTTGTGGAAGATGGCTGTGCGGATGCACTACCAAGGATCGTGATATTTACTGAGGAAAGTGTGCTCATTGCGAAGATACTTGAGGCGTGCAGAGTACACTACGTACTCCTTGTGGGGGTGGCCGTCATATCAAGCGCCATAATAGGCTTGTGCAGTTCAACCATGTTTGCGCGCGCTTTGAAATCGGTCCCTGTCGATTAGTGGTTAGATCATCACATTGTGGTAACACAATTCTGTGAAGACGCAGGCTCGACTCCTGCCCGGGACACGCCGCTACTCCAATCCATTTTTGTGACATGGCCTCCTCTCACTTCATTCACCATGAGCCCCGTAACGCGTTCTGCCACTCGTCCCAACGCCAATTCCCGGGCATCCTCCAGTAAACGGCCTCTAGAACGAGACCGGTCGTCCCCAGATGACGATGCAGGCTCGCCACCTGCTGAATCGGATATTGCAGAGCACAGCCAAGAGAGTACGCTCCAGGTCAGCCTCTACTTCTACGAGCCTCGTGTCCTCATGATCGACGTCTTGGCTCGGTTGTCACTACTATTACTAAGGGACTTCTCAAACGAGCCTTCGGCGGTGCCAAGTCCCTCGAGCGCGAGAATGAAGCTTTGCGCAAGAAGGTCAAGGCTCTCGAACGCAAGCTCGAGAGGGTCCAGGAGGCGGACGATGTCACCGTGCGGCAGAAGAGGGGCAAGAGGGCTGCGGCTGAGGTCGCCACCTCGCGATCTGAAGTTCAACGGCTGAAGAGACAGGTGCTGAAGTTGGAGAGGGTGCGTGCGTCGCTGTTTGCAACAGGGTTCATCATCGCTCATGGGGATGTTCGCAAGTGCAGTCCAACGAGAAGCGTCGGAGGGAGCTGCATGAGGTGAGTTTCCCATGTGTGTGAGTCGATATCTTGCGCATGCAACACGGCGCGACGCTAGATGCGCATGAGGGAGGTCAAGACGGAGGCGAACGAGCTGGTCGGAGATGCAGAGTTCGAGGTCGGTGACGCTGCATACAAGATGCGTAAGGTGAGCCTGGCCGGGTGTATACATCGCAAGAAGGTTGGAGGGAGACTGGTCCACAGCTGCTGCAAGAGTTCCGTGACCTCATGGAAGCGAACACGCTCGGAGAGGACGAAGAGTGCCCTATATGCATGGAGAACCTCGTGGTCAAGAAATGCAAGAGGTGCGCTGTTCCATTTCATCTTCATGGCCAGCCCATACCAAATGTCCCACCCCTGTCCAGCTTACCCTGCCAACATATGTTTTGCGAGGGATGTATCTCGCAACTAAAACCGGAGGCGGGTGGCTGCGTATACGACGACGAAGTCGACTCCATCCGGTGTCCGCAATGCCGAAAGGTGTGCAGACGAGACGACGTCGAAGTCATCGAGCAGACCGCGTCTGAACAGTGGGACGCGCTCTTAGAGGTGGCGCAGAAGTGGGCTCGGATGGACGTGCCTCGGGCAGACGATACGAGCGAGGAGGAGGCCGAAGAGGAGTTCATTGATGACGGGGAGGAAGAGGACACTGGCAAGGAAGAAGAGACCGACACCAGGTCAGTGTCACTGCTCTACCTATTAGTCGACGGCGCGTCTCTTACACGACGTCAGGACGATTGCCTCCGACGGGACCGCCACTACAAACCCTCTCGAGACTTCGCCTGAGCTAGAGGCGGCGCCTCAGACACAGTATCGGTTACGCAGACGGTCCGTTGTGATCACACCGGTAGCCTCGCCGGAGCCAGAAGATCCACCACCGTGAGCAAAGCGAAGTTATTATTTTGACATTCTCCTCATGTGCTTCGTGCTCTAGCCAAGCTACAGCAGACCCTTCGACCCCACAAGGTAATGGGGCACCCAGTACGCAGTCGCCTGGAGCATCGACGTCGTCAGGCCGACCTACACGCTCCTACGCGAATTCCCCTACGAACGATAAGAGGAAGATTTTGGACAAGCTGGTGGAAAGTCGCGCGAAGAAACGGAGGTTGTAGTGCTTGTTCCCCTCTCTCGTTCTTTCTTTCTTCTCGCTCTTGCTTGTATCGTGGTCGCATCAAGGTGTAGCGTAGCATACATGCCCTCCCTATACGTACAAAGAATACAACGGAAATCGCAAGCGGACTGTATATGTCCGCTAAACCATCATAGATGATGCGAAAGACCCGATCCAACCGACGTACACGCAGTGGAGGAAGGACGTGCGATATGCTCGTCGCTGGAACGATCTGTTTGAATGTCAAGGTCCAAGTCGCCGTCGTGTGCCCCGTTAGGTTCCATGGTCTCGCCAGGAGCTGGCAGGAAGGAGCCTAGCGAGCCTATGAACCTGTTGAAATCGAGACTTGCGACCTCGGACAACGACTCGTCGTGCCTCGTCCCATTGTTGGCCTCTTGGAGGTCCATCAGGAATCGTGATATGAGGATCGCGGTTATACTAACGGAACGTCAGTATGGCAGGTGCCACGGGCGTCGGGCTCAAACGACGAGACTCACGGTTCCGACAGGACGACAATGCTGCTCGGAGACTGGCCAGTAGTCTCATCGCTTGTGATCTACGGAGACATTAGTGAAGGAGCCTCATCTTACTGTGGCAGTCCGTGTTGAACTCACGGTGAGTAGGGATAATGTGAGGTGTGCAGAGTTTGTGATCAAGAGGACTCTGTCTAGCTGTTAGAAGACGAGTGCAGTAGATGATGGAACTGAGCTCACACGAAGTAGATCACGCCTGCATATGATGCATTAGTAGAGTTGGGACTAGGAAGGAGTCATGTACCTACCGTCTCTGAAGAGTATGTGCGAGAGTGATGTTCGTTGACCGAGAGCTTTCAGTTCTCGGCTACTTCTGTACGTCACAGACCAAGTGATCGCTAGGACAAGGAGGTCTGCGATGATGAGACAGCTTCTAGAGAGTATGCTGACTAAATATCCTGTTAGCCTGGCCCTACGCGGGAAAGGGAATGCATACATCTAGAGCAGGAATCAGCCACACCACACTGAAAAATCCAGGACGTTACTCACATGCGCGCGGTGATGTCTGGAATGTCGAAGAACATGGTACATGTCTCGGGATCGTTTATGAGCACGGCGTAGCCGAGGCTCGTCTGTTGTGTAATCGGTAAGCGTAGCAGAGTAATGCGACGTCCTCACGGCACTCACGTAGTTGATGATTAGAGGCGCAATGGAAAGGAGGAAGACCATGACAGCAAACGACACTCGCACCCGAGGCCTGTCGGAGCAGAGCACGTATACTCTCAACCCGGAGAATACTTCGTAAGAGCGATTAGCGTACAGTGGTAAGACAGCGTCACTATGGTGCTTACCAGCCCAAGGTAGGTACTGAACATATTCTGATATAACCGCCGAATACAACAGTGCAGCACAACTGTGTTAGGGCCGTTAGATCCACGATAAGAAGCCGAGATTCTGGACAGCTCATACCTCTTAAATCAACAGCCACAATCTGTCATCAACTGGCAGAGAATGCGCATTGAGAACTAGGGCTCACCGTATGTGAGAGATTTATCGGCAAGGGATAGGGGAGGTTGATCATGACGGGAATGATAGGCAGGTACCGGTTGATAGCAAACAGTACCGAAGCCATTGTCGGTTTCCGTTTCCAAAAGAGGTTCACTTCATGGCGGAACGTGATGATGTACTCATAGGTGAGAAGTCCTAGGAGAAGTGCGACAGGTTATTGATATCCACAGTACTTCGCATTGCCAGGAGTTATCTCACCTGCGGCCACGACGAAAAAGTATGCCTGCAAATAGCTTGGTGCAAGGTCAGTTCAGCAGGAGTATCATTGCATTGGGAACTCACAAGCTCTCATAGTCTGCAATGATTTGCGCCTTATCGTAGTCGTCGGACATGGTGGTGGGATGGCTGCGAGTGGAAGAACGGCGGCGGCGTGGGCAAGCCAGGAGCGAATAAAAGCCTCAAATCCGCTGATCGTCTCCTGTTACAAGTACTGGTAGTGAGCCTACATCGTTGCGACAGGCACACGGGTCATAGGTATGCGTAGTTCAATGCATACCACCTAGCACAGCATAACGAGAGGTCAACAACGATGTATGATGTTGATGGATGATCATCTCGCCTCAATGCATGACGTAAGCCCGGGGACTTGCACAATTGTTGATCTCTGTACTGTGGATGTGGTTGTCAGCCAGCTAGAATACCGAGTCTGGCTGTACGAGGTTTCCTCAATATTGGTTGTTCACTGGAAGGGTGAGCTCCAAAATCACCTCTCGTGGTAGGCTGACAGCGAGCTTACAGTGTGAATTGCTAGTGGGATGCTATGTTGGCAACAACATGACGTCTGTCACTGACTTAAATACAGCTCACAATCAATCGTGGCCCCGTCAGCCTGGATCAAGCAAGAACTCGACTGTGAGACGTTGTACATCATCCAGACGTACCTCTTGACCCGCACACTAGGACCTCCGGCAGCTCAAATTGCATATTAAACAAGCGTCGATCGGCGATCACACAGCATGGAGGATCCCGGTAGTTGGCGGGCGTGGCAGTACAGGACAACTCGGTGACACGGTACACCTCCAGACGCATCATTCAAACACTAGTGACCTCGCAGGGCGGAGTGATGATGGTTACCGTACTACTAGACCAACGAGGCAAACCATCAGAGTGCAAGACAGATATGTAGACCTGCGAATCCACTCACCTCGGTTGAGCGCATCAGAATGAGCGCATAATCAGTACCACCACTCAGTGCAGTTTGATCATAGTGTGCCTCCCCAACGAGCCGCCGTATGTGCCCGAGTGGGCCCGCGCGCACGCGGAGAGTGAGTGAACTATGAGAAGACGACACGCACTGGCGATGGACAGATAATGCATCCGGGGATTCGATAGGCGTATCCCCGAATTACCTACATGTCATGGTCTCCAGGTACGACGGCGTACAACCACGGCGGGAAAAAGGAGAATGAAATAATGTAAGTCCCCAACAAACCTCGTGGCATCATGGCGTTGACAGTCCACTGCAAATACGCTACCTTATTACAAGACCTCCACCAAGCCTCGCGAAGGAGACACGACGGCGACGGGTTTGCTGGCGAAATCCAAAGCGCAGCCGCCTTCGTATGCGACGAGTTCGCCCATATCTCCGACGTATCCCTCGATGTCGAGCAGCTTCTCGAGATTGGTCGTTATCAACTCGTACGCTTGCCTCTTGGTGAGGAGGTCGTTGGAATCCAGCACCGCCTGCGCATGTCCGTTCGTCAGTCAAGGTCCATCGAAAGCCACAGGAACATACGTACCCAGCC